CTACTTACACCTAGTTAAACAATTCGTTTCTGAAACTAAGTGTTATTGAGGTCTAAAATACTGTGAAAAATAGCTTAGAACTGTTGTCTCCCAGTTGTAGTTTAATAAACACAAAGTAAACTTTTTTGATTATACTAAACCCATTATTGAAAACTTATTTATAATTTTTTTTAGTACGTATTTAGTTGAGAGAAGTAGTATAGAAAATGTATATGTGGGAACGTATGATGATTATATTCGCTCATTGCGAAGTTATGGTAGGGGAAGCAAAAGCGACACTAGCGCAAACTGCAGATAATTCAACCACTTTAGTGCGATATTTTGTAATTTTGGCGTATCAAATACACGTATACATTTTACGTTTTTTTGCAAAAAAGAAGTAAGAACAATGTAATAAGCAACCATAGTTGGTGTGTACTAGAAGTAGAATCTCCCAAGGTATTTATTTATTTATTTTTATCTTCTAAAAAGTAAGTTTTCACTTCTTTTACAAAATTAAATTATTTTTAAATTCTAAGATATTTTCTAATTTATTTATTTTTTTTATTTATTTTTAATTTATTCGGTTTCTGTGAATTAGAAAAGGAAACATCAATCCACGTCCTGCACCAATGTGAAAGCCTAACTAGATTCAGATTTCTTATACTAGATGAAGAAAAGCCAGACACATGTAACTACATGCATGTGGATGCCACTGTCAAGGAAAATAAATCTAATAAAAAAGTCCAAGCTTAGATGACATACTCTAAAACAAACGGAGTCCCATAATAGATCTGAAAAGGTCGCGGTGGACACAGACACATAATGTCAAACTCCTTTTAAATCTAATATCTAAGCTACCCTTATTTTTGACAGAAGCGTCGTGACATGCCACTCATATTTTGGTACGCCTTTTTTGTACAATTAGCTATCGCATCATAATTTTTACGTAAAAGTCTTCAGTATTCTAAGAAATTCATGTATTCGTTTAATTGGGCATTTAGAAGCAAATTGATATGAAAATATTGTTAATTATTCGTACGTATAAGGAGCCTGTATAATAATTGCAAATGGTTACAACGTTGCCAACTGTCAGTTAAAATGTTGAATATTGCATAAAACCATGGAAGTGACTCTTCTTTCGAAATATCAGGATACAATTTCAAGACAAAATAATGAAAACGATAAACCCCCTTGGATTATGGAGGAACATAATAATGATCCCATATGCGCAGGGTACTGCCTAAATATAACCAATGGGTTTTGAATTGTAAACAATTTTACTGCAGGTAAATATACTAAATACTTATGGTATCTAATAACGACCAATTTAAAATAAGTTTTTTACATGTAGTAATTATTAAGGTAGTTCACGCGCGACAGTCGTACACAAAAATATCGCCAATAGTTTGAGATTCTCAATGCTGAAAAATGTTATTTTTGTAGGATACTGAACCCAACACATGTAAGCTTATGTACGGATACGTTATTATTTCAAGTAAAATCCATCCGGCAACGTCACAAATATAGAAATGGTGCGATATCAAGTGTATAGGTACCTATAGAAATTTTGTGACTTCCTCATACTAATTTTAAGGTTTTGTTTTGGTTCAAACAGAAGCGTCGATTCCAGTTCTCAAATACAGTAGACAAATTAATTTTTCAAGAACACTTCACGAGGTTATAACAACCTCTTAGCTGATCGAGTGTAATTCAGTGATTCTGAACTAACAATGTTGCCAAGTTGTAATCATTGTACCCCACTACGCGTCGACTGCTTTAAACATATTTTTCTTTTAGAAATCTATCTTTTTACCAAAACGGTCAAAAAATTCAACGTTTTTTTAGAAAATTGTATAACTTTTTGATTTACATTAGTTTTTAAAAAAATATAGTAAGAACCATTTTCGAAATATCTTGAAATAAATGCATTGCTTATGTACATGACAGGCTTCAAAACTGTTAATTATGCACAATTTCATTGTTAATATCTCGTTTCACAGACGGTCAAAAAAAAATTTTTTTTACTTAGGTACGTAAAAGACATTTTTTTTAACCTTATATTTTAATTTTATTGAATTCCTAAGAAAAGCCGTCTTGCGCATGAACTACTTTAAATATTATTTTAAAAAAATGAAAATAAATCTTGAAGCTTATTTTTAATTATATACAATATGTACCTATTTATTGTAGGTTTTTATTTGTATTTACATTTTTAAAAAATAGCCATCTATCCAAATAAAACCATTTTAAATAAGGGATTCTTATTATAGGTATTTAAAAATATCAGAAAATGTCAATCGACGCTACCCATTTTAAATTAGTCACACTACTTCATGCATTGTCAGAATTGTTAAAGTAAAGAACAAACACAATGCCATTATTTCTTCTGTTCCCTCTAACTTGTGTACGGCAAAATTTTGCTACAGTACTTTGTAAATAATAAAGTTCATTAATCTCCGTAATTATTATTATTATTTGTGTATAACTATTTTTGGTTGATAAATAAAATGCTTTAATTGGTCTTTATTTTATTTGATAAAGGAAGGTATGTAGTCAGAAATATATATAATATTCTTGCTTCACTTATAAAACGGGTTCTTCACAATATTTTTCTACTTTCTTTTCTCCTTCATCAGTTAAGCTTTATAGTAGGTATATTTACTCAAAATGTATACAAATTGTTTAAAGTACAAAATTAATAATCCTATAAAATTGAGTAAATAATATACAATATGACAAGCCTGTGCATGGTCTATGTAGTATCACAATACTGTGAAAAACTATTCTTACATTGAAAGTTAAAAATATACGCTATAAAACAATATTTTTAAAATCATCCGCTTTTATCTAGCATTTTATAGTAATTAACAATATATAACCCCTTCCATACGGTACGGCACTGCTAAGTTCTCCGTTTGTATACCTTTCCTCTCTCCCCGTCTAGATAATCATTAAACCCATTACTTCCACAGGTAAGGCGTATCTATCCTAATACATGATCGAATGTCGAGAATTAGGCATTCCAACGACCTGTCCAAATTAGGCATTCCAACGACCTGTCAAACAATAGGTGCCAGTGGGAAATTCTTATATATTTAAGGGGGTAGCGACATAGTCTTGCAACTTGGACGCTATTTTTTATTCGAAGTAGTACTGGCCAAGCCTGCTAATTTCTGAAGAAATGTATAGGTGGGTTTTTTAAATATTATTTTTATTGTGTTTGACATAAAATATTTAAATGTAATCCATTATTCATGATTTTACGTAAAGTAGATAGAATACACCATAAGTCGCCACCCTTAGATATACCAAACCTGCCCACTGGTAATTCATTTGTTTGGAATGCCTAATGGCTACCAGTGGGTAATGACAGTTTAGATATGGCAACCCTGTTGTCATTAACAGGGTCAATGATACATATATAGTTATATAGATTGCTCAAAGCTGGTCGTTTACGAGCGGCCATATTGCCTGGTAAATATTTATTAATTTGAATCGGTTTAGCAAAAATGTGTTTTAAAACCAATTTTTAGCCTTTAGATATTTAAAAAAAATAATTGATTACAATTTTACTTCAAGGCATAAGCTTATGTTTATTTTGAAAAATATGGATGATCAATCTATGTAACTATCTATTTCATTGACCTTGTCAAATCACCAGGCCTACAGGGTTGCCATAATTTTGCCATATCATAACCCGTCAGAACCCACTGGTAGCCATTCAGTTTGGAATGCCTAATTCTAATTAGAGAGAAATAGATTAATATCTCTATCTCTTTGTTTGTATTTGTCAGTTTTACAAAGCTTATCTCAGACAATTATTCCAGTGTTTAATTTAAATTTGTTCGTGTTGTGGTGTTAAAAGTAATTGTTATTAATATTATATTCATAACAAAAAAGTCATATTTTGTTTTCACTTCATTAAAAATGCACCTACCTACCTTTTAAAACATTTTATTTTATATTATACTTGGTCAATATTTTCGCATTTAAAATGACCCAGCGAAATTGTTTTACGGTACGCTACTGCTGCTAATTCTAAAACGAGTGAGAAAGCCTTCATTAGAAAGAGAGGTACTGATTATATGATAGCGACATTAATATTGTATAACTTTATGCAGTGGTGGCCTATCTGCTATTATATTATATCTAAGGTATTGTGAGAATTATTTTGACTTGGATGTCAACGAATCAACTTGATTTGAATTTCAATATATCTAGGTCATCATATGTATTAGATGATTTTTAATATTCTTATTGGCCGTCTGATTTTATAAGGTAAGTTTTAATAATGATATATTGTTGAAAATATATATTTTGTACAAGGATTTCTTAATTAAATTGTCAAGTTCCGAACATGACCTAAAATCCTATCAACAATGAGTAACACACATGGATAATTTACTTTTTCCAGTGGCGTAGAAATTTTTTTTTCAATTTCAACCGCCTATGGGGTCTATTCTGTAACAATTCCTTTATATTTAACGGCCTTTAAAAATATTTTCTTCTTTACTTCTGTCATTATTTAAACGAATCTTTAAAATACATTAGAGTACTATCTTAAAGAAATCTGTTTAAATAATGACAGAAGTAAATTAACGAATACAAATATACTTTTACAGGCCGCTAAATATAAGGGAATTTTTACAGAATAGACCCCTGTATCTCGAAAATGGTGCATTTTAGAGGGTAAGTTAATAGAAACGTTTTTTTATATTTTTGGACGAGCTATCACGTCCTGAAGTCCTGCGAATATATTATGAAACACCCTGTATATAGATAGTTATTTGTGTAGGTACCAATAAATTTACAACTTTTGGTTAGGCGATTTTAAAAGGTGCAATTTAATAATAAATCGATCTTTTTCTGGATTTTATTTCATAATAATTAATTAGGTAAATATAGGTATATAGGTAACTAATTACCTTGTAAAAACGCTAGTGTAAATCAAGGAGTAACACAGGTTAATTCATAATTCCTTAAGAATTTTACGAACTTATTTTTATTATTTTTCTTTTATATCCTAACACAGCATAAAAGAACTGGGATCATTATTTAAAGAAACATTTATTAATATAATAAAATATCACCGAGGTAAAAATAAATTAAAAATCAGTATTTAAATAAAGGTTAAAACGACGCAAATTCCATACGAATCCCTGACCATGCCAGGCCCGCACTGCTCGTTTTCAGCTCCCAACAATTTCAATTCCTCTCTCCTTTTCCCTTTTTCTTTTATGGTTTTCTTGTGCTTCCTAATAGCCGATTTTGGGTCTACGTGCCTGCTAGAAACGTAGCCTTCCTCTGCAGGAATAGCGAGCACGTAATGCGTAGCCGATCTTTTGGTTCTAGTAGCTTCTGGTTTGACTACTGTCAGACTAGGAGAGCTAGCTAGTACGATGTCGTCCTTTGCTTTGATAACGTCAGTGCTGGATTGCGAAAGATCGACATGGTAAGGAGCTGTTTTGGATTCGATGAAAGATATGGTTTCTTCTTGTAGTGGGTCTGGTTTTTGTTTTTTGACGTGCTTGAAGCGCTTGAAGTAGCTGGCTTTTGGGAACGATTTCGTTAGAAAGTCTAAAAGGCCTGGAGATGATGTAGATGGTGATACTGTCTGGCTGGGGATAATCATTATTATGAAGTTGTCCAGATGAGCGCGCACGTTCCATTCTCCTAAAAAATAATAGTACAATTAATTTAATTTTTAAATAAAGCAGATAATAATAATGGTTGCATTTTCCAACATAGTTTGCCGTATATATTTACAGAATAAAAGTCAGCGGTATTAGCTAAAGTAGAAGTTGTTTTCGAAGGGAAATGGCCGCTCGTATTTTGTGTAACATATATTTTCGTGATTTATTGATTTTAATTTACATCTTGGTCACATTTAATTTGGAATTATTTTCCTCTTTTTATAGCAAATAAGTTAAATATGCCATTTAGATACAGTGGACCGTTGTTTGATTTTAATTTGTTGTTTAGTTATAATAAATTTTGTTGAATAGCTTTGCATTTTGATGTCTTATTTATTTAAATAAATATGTGTTTTAATAATTTAAAATTCATGTTATGTTAATAAAAATTCCTATTGGATTACCGGATATACTTGTATGTTTGCAAGAATAATTTTGTTGAAAATCGTAACAGTATACTTGTAGATGCGAGTCTAAAGATGCGTAAAAATTTAGCGCGCCACACCTGTGTCGTGCCGCGTCGTAGCAACAACAGGCCTAGCACAATAGGCTTAGTTCGTCAGATTCTCCGAGCAATTACTATGCTCGGAGGTAAAAATAGCGTCCAAGATAGGAGAAAGACTATGTCGCAACCCCCTCAGATATAAAAGCCCTGCTCACTAGCAGCTATTTTTTGACAGGTCGGAAGTAAATTCTTCTGTTAAAACCTTTTATTCAAAGGTTAAAACCATTTATGCAGTGTGTTATCTATTTCACGAAACTATGACGTCAGTAATATTTTTTTAAATGGATTAAATGATATTTTATATTAAAAAAAGTTAGTTGCTTTAAATACAAATCCTAATTAATAATAATTCTAATTTTTCTCGAACAGTTAAGAAAATTATACCAAATGACTTTACTGCTTCATGAAATAAAACAAGAAAATCTAAAATACGATGTAATCACAAATACATACAGAGTGCAAAGTGATTTGTCAATGTTGCCATTATTTTAATTATAGGTACTCTTGAATAGGTACAGATTTTATCTTCCGTTTGGCTTTAAATGATCAAAACTATATTCCGAATAAAATGTTAAAAATACTTGATGGGAACAAGTCTCTGGCTCTATAAACGAATGCGTGAACTAAAATCATGGGTAAAGAAGGTAGACCATTGTATTACCGCCTATATTATTTGAAATTTCGGCTTGTTTTATTTCTCAATTTTCTTCGTCATTACATCAATTTGAGAATTAATTTCAACGTAATTGTAATTAGTTTTTAATAAACTATTTGCTTGTCTCCGTAAAAAAATTATATTTTATTTTTTTATAATTGTTTAAACTTTTGTTTTTATTGTTTTTAAAGTTGCATTATTGATATTAGCGTTCAGCACCTGCTCTGCTTTATTTAAAAAATGTCTACTAAATCTTAGGTCTTCTTCCTTTAGTTTTTTCAAATTCATTTGGATATAAAATTAAAAGCAATTAAACTCTACCCTAAATGTGCCATTTAGATACTGTTGACCATTGTTTGATTTAAATATGTTGTTCAGTTATAATAAATTTTATTGAATAGCTTTGCATTTTGATGTCTTAATTATTTAAATAAATATATGTTTTAATAATGTAAAATTCATATTATGTTAATAAAAATTCCTATTTCATTACCGGATATAGGTACTCGTATATTTACAAGAATAATTTTGTTGAAAATTGAAATAGTATACTCATATGCTGCGTTTGAGAATCCACATCGGATGCATCTGAGATGTAAAAAATCTTTGATCACGTGATTCAGTATACGTAAATGTAATGGGACAGATGTGTCCGATGTGGATAAAAAAACGCTCGAGATGTAAAAAATGCATCCGATGTGGATTCTCAAACGCAGCAATAGATGCGGGTCTAAAGGCGAGTAAAAATTTAGCGCGCCACGGCCTGTGTCGTGCAGCGTCGTAGCAACAATAGCAACAACAGGCAAAGTTCGTCAGATTTATACGGTGATACGTAAAAATTTGACGAACTGGGCTCTTTGTTTGCACAGGCACGGCGCAGGCACGACGCGCCTCAAACGGTCATTCCCCATCAAAGGGAAAATGTCCTACGCCATCTTGGGTTACCATAATTTTATACATTCGACAACGAAAGTGAAACCTATCGAAGTATTAAATGGATATTTAGACACGAGAAATTTACAAAGAATTTACAAAGAAATTTACAAAGAAATTTACAAATAAATTTACAAAGAAATTTACAAAGAAATTTACAAAGAAATTTACAAAGAAATTTACAAAGAAATTTACAAAGAAATTTACAAAGAAATTTACAAAGAAATTTACAAAGAAATTTACAAAGAAATTTACAAAGAAATTTACAAAGAAATTTACAAAGAAATTTACAAAGAAATTTACAAAGAAATTTACAAAGAAATTTACAAAGAAATTTACAAAGAAATTTACAAAGAAATTTACAAAGAAATTTACAAAGAAATTTACAAAGAAATTTACAAAGAAATTTACAAAGAAATTTACAAAGAAATTTACAAAGAAATTTACAAAGAAATTTACAAAGAAATTTACAAAGAAATTTACAAAGAAATTTACAAAGAAATTTACAAAGAAATTTACAAAGAAATTTACAAAGAAATTTACAAAGAAATTTACAAAGAAATTTACAAAGAAATTTACAAAGAAATTTACAAAGAAATTTACAAAGAAATTTACAAAGAAATTTACAAAGAAATTTACAAAGAAATTTACAAAGAAATTTACAAAGAAATTTACAAAGAAATTTACAAAGAAATTTACAAAGAAATTTACAAAGAAATTTACAAAGAAATTTACAAAGAAATTTACAAAGAAATTTACAAAGAAATTTACAAAGAAATTTACAAAGAAATTTACAAAGAAATTTACAAAGAAATTTACAAAGAAATTTACAAAGAAATTTACAAAGAAATTTACAAAGAAATTTACAAAGAAATTTACAAAGAAATTTACAAAGAAATTTACAAAGAAATTTACAAAGAAATTTACAAAGAAATTTACAAAGAAATTTACAAAGAAATTTACAAAGAAATTTACAAAGAAATTTACAAAGAAATTTACAAAGAAATTTACAAAGAAGTTAATGACAAGAAGAAAGTCAACATAGATAAAGGAAACGAAACAAGACACATACATATTACTTAAAAGCCAAACTCCATATTTATACGCATCTTAATATACACCCGACAATTAAATGGTGGCTTAGTATTAGTTTCTTTTTATTATCTCTATTACTATTTAAGATAACATTATTATTCGACAACCATTAGAATCCTTTAGTTTTTGTCTAGTAATAATGTGTGCACCTGCGTGCGTGTGCGCACGCGCGCGGTTGTGTGTGCGTGCGTGCGTGTGTGTGCGCGCGCGCGCGCGTGTGTGTGTGTGTGTGTGCGGGTGCCTGCGTGGATGCTTGGGTGCATCCGTGCGTGTAACTTTAAACTTAAGCTTTATTCCGGTCTGAGGTGAAATGATTAGATTTTGGGCAGAGTTGGAACATCTGGGGGAAACTTTATAGGGGGTTGTTTTTATATTTTAGGCAATATTGTTGCGCAGTGTATAAACTGGAACATTGAGATCAAAAGTGCCGACGCAGAGTGAGCGATCTGATTCTTTAGCTGTAAACTGTGTCACAGGGTTCAAAATGGCCGCGCCCTATGTTGGGCGGGTCGGATCTCTCTTGCCTCGTATAGTAATCAAAGTATGTGCCTTCGGGAAATTTCACCCATGATTTGATTTTTTATGAAAGAAAATATAAAAATGGAAACGTGAAGCATATTGTGTCTTCAGGAATGAACGTTTATTGTTTATTTTATACTCTTTTTACTTTGTTTTCCACAATAAAAACATCTCATCGTAGCTTGTTGACACAATTTAATGACAAATGTGATGACAAATGGAAATAGAGGTTACGTTAAATAACATCCGGTCCGCCATATTATTTGCCCAAATCGGTCAATTTTTCGGAACGTTTTTTAGGGGGCTATATTGTATCCAGTGAAATAATACAGATCAGTGGTATAAACTAAAACATTAGGTTCTTTCGTTCGTCCCACTGGTGTAGGAATGAACTACACCAACGTACACTAAACCTTTCGTTCGGCCCGGTGTAAAATCCACTAAACCTTCCTGTCGGCGATGTGGTGTCCACTGGTGGATATTTTCTCCACCAGCTATTTAGCAGGAGTGAATTACACTCGACATGTGTATAAGGAATAAGGAGGGAAGTAAACTAAGGTAAATAAGGTGGTGTAACTGGTGTAATTTACACTGGTGGACACTGCACCAACAGCGACCGAAAGAACCTATTGAGATCCAAAGTGCCGACATAGAGTGAGCGATCTGATTATTTAGCTGTAAACTGTGTCACAGGGTTCAAAATGGCCGCGCACTATGTTGGGCGTGTCGGACCTCTCTCTTGCCTCGTATAGTAATCAAAGTATGTGGTAATAGTACATAATAGGAAAGAGGCATTAGAAATTACCATTTTAAAAGGTTTAGATGATGATGATATTAAATATTTAATATTAAAAAACTTCGAACTAATACGAATGTTGGCGAGCGCACCAGAAAACTATAAAGTCGCGAATAATTGCTGTCCTTAAACATCTACAATTAAGAACAGGCACAATCTTTATTAAAGTCAGTTCTAGAATGTAAGTAATCTACGCATGCTCAGATGTCAAAATAAGAGCGGCACTAATAGTGACTGACCTTAAGTGAACTTGCAATAACTCTCTAATATTTCTAATAAATTATTTTCAAGTTATTTGTACGATTGTACGTAGTTATATGTTTTTGTTTTGTTATATTATTCAAGTTAATATGGACTTTGAACATCAACTGCTTTTTCATGATTAACGTAGGTATAGGCAACACATTATACACTACTTACGACAAATTTTTAGTTTTTATATCCATTTCTTAAAAAAGTGTGATCGTAGAAAAAAATCGTGTGTGCATTTTGAGCAAAAAGTTCGTTGCCGCTTTCTGTTTCAAGCGGCAAAGTATCCCTTTTCTCTCTTAATACACAAATAGCTATTTCTTCTACCTTCTTACTCAATCCCTACAACTCACATATGGGTACCCTCTCTTTTAATATAATAAAAGTAATTTTAAAAAACCGACTTCAAAATCGTGCAGACGCCTTTAAAAATTGAGATTTTTAATTTTCTCATAGATCATCAGATCCTGACCAATTGTAAACGGAACTAACCCTGAAGTATCCCATTTCTAACAAAAAAAGTCATAGAAACCGGACAACGTGGTAAAGAATTATTACTGAAAATATATAGGGTGTTTCTAAACGTCAGTCATAATTAAAGGAGGTAATTTTTTGGCACAATTTATATATACATGTGTCCTAAATTGCTTTGTTTTAAAGATACACTTGTTCACATTTTTAAAAATAATCAATTTTTCATTCATATCATAAACACTCTTCGACCTATTTTGATGATTCATTTGTTGTAGTAAGAGACTAATTTTGACCTAGTTATATCTTCGAAACAAAGTAATTCAGGACACATGAATCACCTCCTTCAATTATGACATGACCCAGCTAGCACATAACGTTGCCAAGACTTTCGGCGATGTTGCATTAAGGGAACGTAATAACATTACTATACAACGTAAATGCAACGTTCATGAGAAGTTGTTGAGGGAAATCAAAACCTCGCAAAACTTCTATTTGTTATTTACCTAGTTAACCTACCTGTTATGTTAACACAACGTAATAGTGTAATTTGCTGCCTAAAAAGAACAAGAACTGTTTATGTCAATTGTCACTTGCCAATTTTTCTTGTCATGTCATGTTTGTTTTTTTGCAGAATTTCTTTTATAATTATTATTAAAAACATTTGAGTAGAAGTGGTAAGGATACTCTATAAAATAGAAAACTATTTTCTGAACCATTTTCTTCGTTTCAGATTACAATGCCTATTTGGATCATATTTTTGTAGTTTTCGACAGAATGGCCTGGAGCTGGTTTATAAAATTATAAAAATGTCCGGAAATATCTGATAACTTTGTTAGAAACTAGATGGAAGAACTTGGTTTATGAAATTATTTACTGGCCTATTTAAGGATGTAAGTGGTGGCAGTAATTCCTTTTTCCCTAGCTGGCTCTTAAAATTTAATGATTCGGAGAGTGAAGGGATTAATAAAAGTATATCTATCTGTGATTTGATATAATATCTCTTTTAGCTTATGCACAATTTACCCTGTGGTTTATAATCCCCTACAAATGGTTATTAAAGCTGTTAATGTGTTGATGGTATTAATGATAGGATACAATTTATCTTATGGTCCCCCTTTTAGTACTAGAAGGTGCACAGGTGAGTTTACATGTTTAATTTTTTAAGTTTATCTGCTATAGTTTATATTTATTTTAGGAATTAATCAAAAGAAGCCACTACTTCCAAATCTGGAGAAATATTGTGGCTGAGAAGTTATAAATCTTACTGCAATCAAACTGGTGATCATTCAGGATGCGGTAATAACTGATGATGGCTTCTGGAGGCGCCAAAGCCTCAGCAAGGGGCTGCAAGTGAATCATAGCTATATAAATTGAGATTCCTATGCATGTCGCTAACATATGTGTTTTAGGTAATATTTCAGTTCAACAAAAGACCCACTAAGTTAGTAGATACATAATTATTCATTAGATAATTACAGTAAATGATAAATAAAGGCCTAAAATAAAATAACACTATTGGTATGTGATTTTAGGGGAGCATGGAGTGGTTGAACTTATCACAGATTTAGGGGCCCTTCTTTTACAAGAAACAAAACCCACAATATGTGATTCCACTTTACTAAGGATGTAACAAACTTCTGGGTAATAATATACTTAATCGAACTAAAAATACATTTTAAAAATATTGTAGTTTAGATTTCCTTTGTACCTGAAAACATTCTAAGAATTTTAGAAGCAAAATAAATACTACAGACTTGTCTAAAGAAGAATAGGTATATGACATCTGAAGTTTTATAAAAAGAGAATCTACATGGTACGTCTATATTGAAAAAAAAAACATCAGATTCAAGCAAGTGCCAAACTAGAAGAAAATTTGAGAAAAATCACAGACGATGCCCTCGAGCATACATCAGAATATCTTGCTAAAAAACATGAGTTGTTTTTTTATAAAATCTTCATACTAACTTGGAAATCCATAATTAAGCATAAAATTTGTGAAATTCTAAAAAAAATTAATGCACTAACATTGGAGGTTTTATTTAAAACAACAACATTAAAAGTACATCGCATGTGAGCTTAAAGAGCCTAAAATTGCAGCTTATTAACGTAGATGGGATGTTTTTGTGCTAGCTGGGGATGTTTAGGAACACCTTGTATATAAAAAATAAATAAATTGGATGATTTTCTTATAGACCTTATTATTAGATCTTGACCAAAGTTATAGGAGACCACCCCTGAGGTACCCCCTTTTCTAACAAAAAAATAATCTTATTAATCGGACAACGTAGTAAAGAATTATCGCTGAACATACATAAAAAAATATTCCGATGAATTGAGAACCTCCTCCTTTTTTTGAAGTTGGTTAAAATGTGAAAATATATGATATCATTAATTATTTAAAATTTAGTTGTTGTAGCCAATCTTTGTACCTACGCCATTTTTTTGTACCTGCCAGTATAGTATAATATGCATACTCTTAATCATAGTATAGTTAACAAAAATACATGTCTTTAAAGCCCAGAGAAGAGTACTTTACCTTCTTGTCGTTGATCATAGAGTACCTTGGCATCGGATAATTTGTTGTCTTTTTTATCGGGCACTGGCGAGGCGACGGTGAAACATACCGGTAATATTAAAATTATCGTTTTTATCAACATGATTTGAAATCGCTTGAGCTGGAGCACACCGAGCGAAAAGTTACAATCAACTGTTTCTCACTCTGATTAATGCCATGTTTTGGCCAACAAGAGAGTTTACCGTAAACACAAACCGGTCATAGTCCAGAGCCTAAAATCAAAAACATCCTCTCAGTAGGTCATTAAAATAAAATTTATGCCAGCGGAAAATTTAATGCCTAAAAAGGATTCCTTCTGCAGTTTTTTAGATAATGTGATGTTTGTTTATTTTAAAACAGATTATTTATTAGTAATTTATTTATTTTAAAACAATACAATCTAATTGATGTATATTTCGAATGTCTTTGAATTGTTCACTATTTATATTCACAGTCTAATACTTTATTTTTAACTGTCTATATACAACTGACTGCTGCGTTGTTCCTCCACCAATATTTATATACACACTTAAAATTTTGGCGAAGGTACAGTGAAACCTGAGTAAGCCGGAACCTGTGTAACACGGAATCCTGTGTATGACGGAAATTTTGGCGATTACCTACATATTGTAATGTAAAAATTGCTTATAAGCCGGAACCCTGTCTAACGCGAACACGGAATTTCCCTAATCTGTTAAGCCGGAACCTACTTATGTTATTGCTTTGCAGGTATAAAAGAATTTATAGATGTTTACATAATTAGTTTATGATTTCGGAAAGCCCCATAATAAGGGCGAACTATTATCAATACTTAGAACCATTATCACAGAAATTTAGGTACAAAAGCAGTAAATACACAAATAAACCAGTATTGTGTAGGTACGGCAGTTTGAGTTTATCCGTGAAAGTGCAAACATTTCAAAATGGCAAACCGAAAAACGAATACATTATCGCTAAAATCTAAAATGGACTTAATTAAATGTAGTGACCAAAAAAAACTTACTCCAAAGCAATTGGTTATTCAATTTAAGTGCGGAAAAACGCAAGTGTATGAAATTTTGAAAAACAAGGAAAAAATTAAAGAAGAGTGGATGCGTGGTGGTAATGGCGATATTAAGAGAAAGCCAAAGGAATCACATCACGACGACGTAAATTCAACAGTTTTGGAATGGTTTATGGATGCAAGGTCTCGCAATCTTCCTGTATCTGGAACAATTATTCAAGAAAAAGTAAGAGATATTGCAAACCATTTTGGAAAAGTAGATTTTAAAGCTTCGAATGGATGGCTGGAAAGTTTTCGAACACGACATAACATAAGATTTAATCAGATCTGCGGTGAAGCTAAGGACGTCGACATGGAATCTGTGACTGAATGGACATCGCACATTACAGATTTAATTAAAGGATATATCCTAAAAGACATTGCTAATTGTGACGAAACTGGCCTTTTTTATAGAGCGCTGCCGGACAAGACAATGTGCTTTAAAGGTGAAAAATGTCAAGGAGGCAAACAATCTAAAGAAAGGTTAACTGTTTTGTTTTGCGCCTTTGCTGACGGAAAAATAGAAAAACCTCTAGTTATTGGAAAATCCCTCAGAGCGCGATGTTTTAACAATACCAATGTGCCTCAGCTACCAGTTTATTGGCGAGCAAAAAAAAAGCATGGATGACATCAGTTCTTATCGAACAGTGGCTAAAAATTTTAAATCAAAAAAAGAAATTTGAAAATCGACACATCCTTCTAATTTTGGATAATGCAACGTGTCACCCCAAAATAATACTATCCAATATAAAATTGTGTTTTCTACCACCAAACACCACAAGTCAAACACAGCCTCTCGATCATGGAGTTATACAAAACTTCAAAATGCATTACAGAAAACAAGTGCTGCGGTCAATTATTGCGAATATGAGATTCTCTCAATCAGCAGGAGATTTGGCTAAAAAAATATCAGTTTTGGATGCTATCAGATGGATTGATTATTCAGTCAAAAATATTAAACCTGATTGTCTTAAAAAATGTTTTGCGGCATGTGGAATCAAGCAAGATGGAGACGTTGACCTAATCGAAAATGTTGACGAAATTGACGAAAGTACAAAAGAAGTCGAAGAGTTAATTACTGAAATTAATTAATCCCGGTTGTAATGTTCATGATTACATCACATTAGATGAAGCCGTTACAACAAATGCTGGATTTCAGTCCATAGAAGAACTGGTGTTAGAAAAAACTGCCGTGGAAACTACTGTGGCAGACGATAATGATGGGATTGGAATTGGTAAGCGATTTTTCTAATTCTCTAAAAAAATAAACAACTTTTTATTTATTCTTTCCATCTTAATTGGGCATTTGGCCAAGTAGAAATAAAGTTAAAATACATAATAAAAATAAGATAGGAAGATTTCAGTTACCATCACAAAAATAACAGATAGAAAAAATTATTTTCCCATTAGCTTTTCAAAACGATCTGTTCTTAAATTATTATTTTTATCTACAGGAACAGAAGTTGAAGAATCCGATCGGATAAAAAATTTTTCTGAAGCTTTGAGGAGTGTTGCAGCGTTAGAGGATTTTTCCCAAAGAATAGAGAGCGAACCGATGAGAAAGAAGATTTTAGAATTAAGGACATTCATGGAATCATCTTACGTATTACAAAAGAATAAAAAACAACTTACATTGATAGAAATGTGGAATAAATAATAATTTATATTGTTTCTAATAATAAATAAAAATATGTAGGTACATAGTAATAATAACAACTATATATTAAATGTACGTATATTAGATTTTTTTTAATAAAATCATCACTTTTTTAAATCTACTATGTGCAATTTTTTATCTACCCTGTGTAACGCGGAATCCTGTATATGCCGGAAAATCGGTGCACGACCGTGCGATTCCGTTTTACACAGGTTTCACTGTACTAGAATGATCTTCATCAGAACTAGAACCATTATCTCGTTCGTTCTCGAATAGTAATTAAAAGCGTCTTCGCCATAGTCGTCACATATGTTTGATCTTAAGGGGTTTAATTATGAAATGGCTCACATTAGATTGCCCCCTCCTTAAGAGATAGTTCCTCCTGCAACTCTTACGAAACTAAAATGGATTGGTTGTATCCGCAACTGAACCCTCTTTTACAATTTCCAGTTACATGGAAGTAACAAGGGACTGTCTTCGCTGTAACCTGGATACTAGGCGAATGGCTGCAGACCAGTATTTGTACTCCGGTATCTTGAAAATTTACTTCTACCATGTTCCTAATGATCCTACAATGATGATTTCCTTCTATCTTCGGCATGGCTAGCTTCTGTACATTCATGATAAGTGGATCGATTTCGGAAGGTGTTCTTTCAAGTTTTTTCAGGCTTTTCCAGGTGCTGGTAACTGACATTGAAGTTCTAGCAGTCGACCAAACTTCTAACGGAACACTTATGCCAATCCTCGCGCGTCGCTGATGCTGGTGGAAGTATTATGGACAAGCGAGTAGTCTTTTGGAAGCGAAAGCAGATCTTGTTATTGCTCGGTAGTAACACCATGTCTTGCTTTTCCGGTACCTCCATATGCACCCATAAATTCTTCAAAGACAAGGTCAGGTGTTTCTTGGAGCTGGTTTACTTCTCCTTCCTCATCATGATCACCCTCAAATGGCGCCAGCCGGTTGGGATCTTATTTATACGGTAGATGACATCATTGATTCTTTTCTTGATAAGATACGGACCTTCCCAAGGTCTTTGAAGCTTTGGAGAATAACCTTTCTGTCTTTTTGGGTTATGGAGCGAGCCAGACTTTTTCGCCTTCCTTGAAACATCCATCTGTAGCTTGGGTATCGTACCGTTTCTTCATCCTATCGCTGGAGTTTTGAAGATGTGAGCGGACCAATTCATGCATATCGTCCATTCTTCTTCGTAACTTGATTACATAATCTTCACCAGCTACATCTTCTCCAGGTGGGCATCCAAACTCGAGTTCGCCCGGTAATCTTATCTCACGCCCAAACAGGACCTTTGCTGGTGTTGGCCTGTTGATTCATTGACAGCGGATCTATAAGCCATTGCAAAGAGCGAAATAAACTGATCCCAATCTCGCTGATGGTTTGAAACCACTTTTGATAGATATTTGCCAATGATCTTATTCATTTGCTGTACCATTCTATCGGATTGTGGGTTCATGCCAAGTTTGTCACAGTTTCCACGGAAAAGTTGGCTTTTAAAATTTCTGCCTTGTGGATCTCCAAGGGTACTCCAAATCGACAGATAAACTCTTTTATCAACACATCTGCAACATATGCGGTCTCTTGATTTGGAATGGCGTAGACTTCCACCCACTTTGTAAAATAATCCATAACCACCAAAACGCATTTATTACCATTCTTGGTCACGGGGAATGGTCCAGCAATATCTAAGGCGATCCTCTCAAATGGGCTACCAACGTTGCATTGCTTCATGGAAGCCTTCCTTTTTCGTCGAGGTCTATTACTCATAGCACAGGTGGTACATTTCTTATACCAATTCTTTACATCATCGGAACTGTTCATCCAGTAAAACCTTTCCCGAACTCTCTGAAGGGTTTTCCTAACACCGAGATGTCCTCCTGATGGACTGTCGTGTAACTGACGAAGTACTTCGGCTACTCTACTTCTTGAAATGACCAACTATCTTCTGTTCTCAGAATCATCATCATCATTTTCAATAATGGTAATCATAGTAATAATTAAATTTTAAGAAGCGGTTGAAATTTAAGAGATAGAAGTTACAAAATGATTGATTACACTTAAATAGAAATTTCGTGTTAATTTGTTAATTTTTACTTAACTATTTCTATAGCTATAATGATTTAATTAGTTTTTAATTAAATTTGTTAATTTAAATTTTCTCGTATTTAACATGCAATATAACTTAGTCTATTTTCTTGGTGTTTGTTTATTTATACAATTTCTCTTTCTGTACCTTATATGATGCTTGTTTGTTATTAATATATTCCCGCCCTATAATATTACGTACCTACTTACTCTTGAAAATAAATCAATTTATACATGTCTCACAAAGTTCCTATCATCAATTAACCTACTAATATAATTCGGTTTTACCAATTTATTAAAGTTTTTCTATATATATTCCTCATTTTGTGGCAAACAGACTTAGTCTAATGCCATTCT